CTATTTTATCTTAATTCTTAATCAATTTATTCTTTCAATTAAGCTACTCTAATAGCATCATTTTTTTTAACTGCTCTATCAGGTATATTAGTTGTGGCTGCTGTTTTTGGTATTGTTTTTACAGGCTAATATACATTTCTTTATGATTCTTTAATGCCTGTTGAATTTTTAGCCATCAAATCAGATGATCTATTTTATTCAATTCTCTCTCTTATTTATGTTGCTAATCCTTCTGGTATCTTATTGCAAGAGACATCTAAAAATTTTAAATTTCTGTTTCCATTCAATCCTTCTAATAAATATTAAGCTCCTTTTTCTCCAATTTCATTCCATTTTAAATTCAATGATTATAATGATGTATTTTGCTTTAACATTTAACATATTCTTGCACAATGATCTGCTTGAATTCTATTATTCTTTAGATCTACTAATTATAATTAATATGAGGGATTCATTAATAAATCACACAAAGCACTAACACCTCCACCTATTGCATTCCATTCAGCAATCAATGTTCTTGCATCCGGACTTATTGAACGACAAATACGTTCAAATCCTCTTCCATTTATATTACATCCTCTTAATTCAATGTTTATAAATTGAGTATTTTGAGCTAAAAATTAGGCTACAACTACACAGCCTTCTTCATTCAGTATTTAATCAGATAAAATTAGATTTGGAGCTTTCTGTGCTTCTAAAGCTTTCTAGAGCTTCATGGATTCAAATTTAAAATTAGTAGTTAATAAATGAAATATTCCAATATAAATAAATTACTTATATTAAAAATCAATATCAAAAATTATTATATAAATTTTGTTAAATCATATTATTATTTGTTATAATAATTTTTATAATAATATATAAAATATCTTACATGAAAAACTCATTATAGATATATGATAATTAAACTATATATAATATATATCAAAGTTAAGCAGTATTCCTTTAAAGATTTTATAGAATCTCTTCAGTTTTCGAAAAGTTCTAATTCCAAGTATTTAGTATTTGAGAATCAATAACCTTTGGACTGTCACATACAGATATAATTTAAGTATTAGTAATTTCCATTGCCAATTAATCCATTGTATATGCCAAGAGTATGTCTTTTACTGAAATGCCTGAGCATTCATTTGTTGAAATCTCCACATGTACAACATTTTCTTTTTATGTCCACTTTGGATAATCTAATATATATTTAGAATAATTAAATTACGATGCATTTCTTCTGCAACTGTTGAAATGGATCCCATAAATGCAAATGTCTCTTTGAATGAATTAAATTTAAATTCTTTATGAATCTATGTAGAGTCTTTTGTTGGATGCCATTATAAAGAATGAATTTCAAGGGCTGATGCAATTTCTTCTGAATTCAATTTAGTTGCTGAAACAGATTAAACATCTTTGAAATCTCTGACAAATATTTTTAGGGAGTTGATTATAGCGGGTGTTTTGAATCCTTATTCTGAGATGTATCTATACATTGTTTTATTGTATTTAAATTATTACAATTATTCAGGAATCTTACAAGACTTATCAAAGGTTTATTAATACGAACCATTTTTTTTCAAATGCAATTTTATGATAAGTTTTATTTTTTTATAATAATCAAGCAATACTTCAATTGCCCATAGGGTTAGGTATCTTATTTGGATCGAAATTCATCGGATATGTCTAATTTGGTAAAGTTTGATTAGGGTAATATGCAGGTGGTTATTATTACCCTTATTAAGGAGGTGAAACATAATTTGGCTGAGGAGGAGGTTATTAGCCAGGATAAGGTTAATTGATGGGAGGTAAATTTGGATATTATTGACCTGGTGGTAAGGTCTATGTTTATTAATTTGGTGGCATTTGATTATTTGTATAGCCACCCTATGCTTAATTATTAGGATAGTTTTAAGGATTATTTTACATGGTTTAGGCATAATTTGGATATCCTTGCTAATTAGGTAGTTGATTGGGTGGTTAATTTGGAGGTTAATTAGGTGGATAATTTGGAGGTTAATTTTGAGGATAGCTTGGTGGCTAATTTTAAGGATAATTTGGTGATTAATTGGGTGGATAATTTGGAGGTTAATTTGGTGGATAATTTGGTGGTTAATTTGGTGGATAATTGGGAGCTTAATTTGGAGGATAACTTGGTGGCTAATTTGGAGGATAGTTGGGAGCTTAATTTGGAGGATAATTAGGAGCTTGATTTGGTGGATAAACTGGAGGTTGATAGGGTGGATATCCTTGTTAAGGATTTGGTTAATAGCCTTATTATTAATTAGGAGGGTAGTTAGGCATATAACCTTACTGGGGATAGTTTTATTATTGATTCTATGGATATCCTACTGTTCCTTAGAACCCTGTTTAAGAATAGGGTGGTGGCTATGGATATTATAATGATTAGGGTGGATAATTGGGAGGTTGTTAATAAGGCATTGATTAATTATAAGGTTATTGGTAATAAGGAGCTCCAGGAGGTTTCATTGGTATTACATTATTTTATTGATAATATAGAGGATTTGAAGGTATTTAAGGCTATTGTTAATATTTTGAATCAGAAAACCATTCAAAAGAAATGTAAATCTATCCAGCCGATTTTCCCTGAGTTTTTAATGATTATTTAAATTACTTTGTAGCTTAAATTTAGCCATTCAGGTGGTTTAGGAGAATCAACTAAATATGGTTATAAGGCTATGGAACATTCTCCAACTAAATCATCTTCACTTACTTCGTCTGAATCCCAAACCTAGATTTCAGCTATGTATTCATTTGTACGCCTAAAGCTTAGTGATTGATTCCATGAAGGATGCTTCCCTATAAAAATATGAATATTTCTAGTACCAGCATCTGTATGTTCTCTAGTTCTTTGTTTTTAATTTCCAAGAATAACCTTGCAGTAAGGATCCATCTTGCCAAGGAATTCAGTATCATGAGTTAGTTTTGCTTTGAGAGGTTTGACAATTAAGGTGCCTGAACCGACTAATGACATTTTAATATTTTTAAATTTGTGAATGTCTAAGAAATCTAATTTGGGTAAAGCTCTATAGAGACAACAATAAAGGAAAATGAATGAAGGAGCTGCAAAAGTTTAGAATTAAGGATAGTTCTTTCATGATGGGAAGGTTGTAAAGGAAGAATATCAAATTTAATAAGAGAACTTGTAATCAATAATAGATTAGAATCCTTTAAATGAATATTTGTAAATGGCAGAGATGGCAAATATTAAATATTAAGCAGAGAAGAAATCAGATATAGTAGTAAATGAATAGCAGAAATAAGTAAAAAAATATTTGGATAATTTTTAGTTAGTGATAAATGTGAATGCAATAAGAAAAGGACAATTACCAAATTCATCAGTATATGATTATTAGAAGAACTAATTATTGGTAGACTTATAAATACCAAGAAGACCTAGATGGGATGAGAAAACAACAGTTGAATAATTAAGATTGATGGAAAATGAGAATTTTTTAAAATGGAGAAAAGAATTAGCAAAGTTTGAAGAGGAACATTATTAAATTTAATTGACTCCTTATGAGAAGAATATTGAAGTTTGGAAGTAATTATGGAGAGTAGTAGAAAAAGCAGATATTTTAGTTTAAGTAGTAGATGGAAGAGACATTTTATTTTATCATTGTAATGATTTGACAAAATATGTTCATGAAGAATAAAATAGAGTTTATAGAAAGAATTAAACAAAGATTAATTTTCTATTGATAAACAAAAGTGATTTAATATCTGATAAAATTAGAGAAGAATGGTCAGCTTTTTTAAATTAAAAGAAATTAAATCATATGTTTTTTAGTGCTAAATTAGAATAAGAAAAAATAGATAAAGAAGAATAAATATAATAAGATGCTACTAATATTATTATTTAATAAGAAGAAACATAAATTTAAGAAAATATAGAAGCTTATATAAATACATCAAGAATTGCAGATAGAAAGATATTATTATCAGAATTAAAATCATTAGTATAAAAGATTAGAAAAGAAAGATAAGATAATATAGAGACAACTAAATTACTTGATTAGGATGATCATGATATCTAACATGATGAGAATACAGTAATTATTGGAATGGTTGGTTATCCTAATGTTGGTAAAAGTTCAGTTATTAATGCTCTTTGTAATAGAAAATTAGTAGGAGTTGCAGCAAGACCTGGTAAAACTAAGCATTTCTAAACAATACCTTTGGAAAAATATCTATTAGTATTAATTTATATTCTAATTTTTAAGTTATGTGATTGTCCAGGATTAATATTTCCTAATGCATCATCATCCAGAGCTGAAATGGTTTGTAATGGTGTATTACCAATTGACAATATTAAAGATTATTTAAGTCCAATGGATTTGTTGGCTGAAAGAATACCTAAAATTGCTTTTGAAAAGATATATGGAATCAATTTGTAAGAATTTAAAGTTATTGATGCCTCAACTGTACTCTCTACTTATAGTTAAAAAAGAGGATTTATGACAGGTAGAGGATTACCAGATGAAGCCAAAGCAGCTAAATTAATGTTAAAAGATTTTGTTAATGGTAAATTACTATATGTGAAATTGCCTCCAAATTATTAAGGTGAAGCATTATGGTAATCCAATCCTATAGAAGATTTGGAAAATTTGATACAATAATAATAATAACATTAACATCAATAGAATGATGATGCTAATATTGATAATCAATTTGAAAATCAATTAATTCAAGAAAAGAAAATTTCAAATGAAGAGATATTAGAGATATTCACTTAGGAAAATTTAGCATAATTAATGGAAGGTAAAAAGGTTCATGGTATTAAATTAACAAAAGAGTAAAGAAGAGAAATAAAACACAACTTCTAAAGAGGTATTAAGTTTTGTTTAATATTTTTAGGTGATCCTATTGATATAAAGAAATATCTTAATTTATAACAAAATTAAAAGGAAACTCTATATAAAACATATATTTAAGGCAAAAGAGGATAAATATGAGAAATATTGTGATTAGTAAAAAACTCAATATTAATATATTCAACAACACTTATCCTTGTCCTTTTTGTTATCATCTGTTTATTAACCAATTTTCTAACCTGGTGTTTATTGACTTCTTTATGGTCTTATATATAAATTAATAATATTATTACCCTTAACCTTTTAATCCTTGAGAATCTTTTTTTGCAATTAGTTTCTTAGCAAGTGAAATAAAAGCTTTAGATACTTAATCTGCTGTCTTTGCACTAACTTCCATATGTGCCATCCTTCTTATGGCTGCATAATCTAATGCCTTTTGTGTTGTAACACTAAAATAAGAATATATGATAATCTTACGCTTTATCTTCAATATCACTCTTATTTCCTAACAATAGTAATTCAACATTCTTCTCTGCATATGAATCTACTTCATTAATCCAAAATCTATCAATATCTTCAAATGATCCAATTGAAGACACATCATATACCATCACAATCCCATCAGCACCCTTTATTCAAATTCATCTTATACCTTATAATATGCACTTGTTATTGTACGAAATCTTTCTTATCCAGCTGTATCCCATATTTACAACTTTACCTTTTTCCCATCAATTTCTAAAGTCTTAAATCTGAAGTCCACACCAATTGTAGTTAAATAAGAATCACTAAAAGTATCATCTGAAAATCGCAATAATAAGGATGATTTGCCTACACCTGAATTACCCACAATCACTAACTTAAACAAATAGTCATATTCTTTAATCATTAGATATAATAAATATTTAAATAATTACATCACAGAAGTCATCAGTATATATAATTCATTCCACATTAATTTATCCAATTTTTAAACTATAATATTCCTTATATTTTACTTATCCATTAAAAATTTGTATATATCCAAATATATAATGACAATTATGACATTCGTATTTTATAATTAAACAAAGATTATAATTCAATTTTAGATATCATAATTCTATTCTATCTTAATTGTAATAATATATTTTTAAATAAAATAAATATATATTTAATCAGATCATCTTATAATATATATAATACTCTTTTAAATTCTTAGAAAATTATGATTCTTATTTTAATATACAGTAACACTGTAAAATATTATAAATACACACTTAAATCAGCAATATAATATGGAAATAGATCATTAGATATCTAAAGACAATAATACTATTTCATATTTATTAATATATAAATGTAATTTATTCTCTTAATTGTCTGTATTGTTGCATTTGTCGATTGTAAAATGAAAGTTTTGAGACCTCCTGATTTAGTTGATCGTTTAGGCTCAAAAGTAAACATTGCATTAGCTAATTTTGGGTTTGACATTATTTATATATCTAATTAGTTAAATTCCATTTGGACATAGACTAATGGGTTATGTAGATATGGCTTAACCTAATGATGGATGCATTCCTCTTCAATCAACTATTGGAAGTCAATTTATAATGATAGAAAGGGGAAACTGTACTTTCGTCACTAAGGTAAGGAATGCTTAGAATGCTGGATATTCATTAGCTATTATTGGTAATAATAATGATGAGCCTTTATAATCTGATTTCGTAATGGCTGATGATGGTCAAGGATATTCTGTATATAATTAAAACAATACAATAGGTCAATATTCCATCAATATTTATTTCATTAAGAGATTTTAATATAATGAAGGAATATGCTTAAAATTATAAAGTCCTTGATAATTCAGATGAAAAGATTTTTATTTTAGTGAAATTTGATGTTGAAAAAAAGGATCAAATAGATGTAATATTTAGTTTGGATGTAAATGATAGAGATTCATATAGAGTAGTTGATGAATACTCTTAATATTATAATCTTTTGTAAAATGAGAATATTAATTATACATTGGTTTATTCAATTTTCAATTCTAATACCACAGAATTGGATTATATAATTGATGAAGATAATTGTATTTGTTCAAGAAGATATTGTTCAGTTGATCCAGATGGAGAAGGTATAGCATCTGGAAGAAATGTAGTTGAAGAAGCTATTAGATAAACATGTATATTTAAACTTTTTCCAGATAAATATTTTCAATATATGGTAAAGATGATATATTTATATTTAGAATTAATTTAATTTTTAATGTACTAAAGCTTAAGCTTATTCTACTTGTGGAAGTAAAATAATAACAAATTTAAAATTGTCAGCAGATGAGATAATTAAATGCAGAGATGAGTCTTTTAAAGATCCTTTAAATGATTAAACAACTAAGAATCTATCAAATGCTTATAATGCTATTTTGGAACATTAATTAATAGTAAGAGAATAGGCTGGTATGGTGGGATTACCATCAGTAGTTGTAAATTCTATAGTTTATAAGGGATAATTAACAGGCAAAGGAGTTTTTGGTGAAATATGCAATAGTAATTCTTTTTATTTTATATATTAGGTTTTATTATTCCTCCATTGGTTTGTAAATCTGAAGTAGAAAATTTTTATTAATTTGAACATCAAAGTTAACATTATTTATTTTTGGTGATACTTTTAGTTTCAATACTAATAGCAATTTTTATTATAATTCTATTCTTTTTGTTTAAAAAGTTTGTACAAAGAGATAGTGTTGAAGTTACTTAAGTTTAAGTTAATGAAATGGTTAGTCAATATATTAAATTTTATGAAGGAAAAGATTAATAAAAATAAAATTCTTTTTGAGATATTAATGTTATATATAAGTATTTATTAAATAAAATGGAACACTAAGTTCAATTAATTAAATATATATATATATATATAAATAATAATGATCTTCTAACTCCGTTACAATACTAAATTATCTGAATCTTTAAACAATAGCAAAGATTACTATTCCATGTAAAATACAAAATGGGTTGCTCCAAGACCAAATTAACATAGACTTGAACATTTATAATTCACTTAAAGAAATAAACCTCGTGCTAAATACCCATAAGAAATGCTTCTATGTCTTGTTTCTAAGGGACTTGTTCCCATAGAGAAATAAAGAATAGTAAATATATAATCTAATGACACTTCATGTAATTATAAGGATATTACTTCTGAAATCAAATAAGAAAACCATCCTTACTACGGTTCAAAACTTAATCCATCTATGTCAGAAGTTGAACGATGTAACTAAATTAAATAACCTCTTAGAAAATAAAAAAGTATTACCTCCACTTTAGTTTATAGCTGTCCGCCCTTAAATCAGAACTTAATCAAAAGATAAAGATCCCATTGAAACTTCTACTTCTAAAAGTTGTAAATTAGTAAGTCCTATGATCAATAGAAGTGATCAAAAGAAAAATGTGAAACGCTCAGAATCTAAAGATAATAGTGATTAAATTGGCAGAACTTCCTCAACACCTTTTATTCATAAAACTCTTCAAAATGATAATTTGACCAGTAGATCAGGATCACCAAATCAAAGATCAAGTTCTAAACCAACCAAAACTTAAAAAATAAACATTTAGTCAAAATTGACATAAATAAATGAGAGGAGATATACTCAAAATCATTAAGATTCTCATGTGTAACCATAGAGTAATTTAAAAATGGCTGAATCAACTGATAAGAAATTACAAGTAAAAAGAAAGAAAAGACAATTATAAACAACATAATAACAATAGATCTTATAACAACAAAATTCTTAAAAAGATAAACTTAATCAAAAACATACATCTTATCGTTGCTTTATAAATAAAATCAATTTCTCTAATAATCAATGTATTTAATCTCCATTAAAAATGGATGTGCCTGCTTATTACTTTTATGTAGGTAAGGGTAATAATGGAAGTTTGTTAAAGAATCTCTTCAGATAAAGATGGTGGTGGTAAGAAGTAGAAACATTAGATATGAGCAAAGTGAATATGGCTTGGACTTAATTGAAATAAAATACATGTATTGAATGTTTACCTACTTTTAATATGGCTACTAATGATACTAACTATAATAATGATTCATTTATTTAAAGTATTGAAGAAACTGTTGTTGAATCAAGTGATTCTGAATAAGATATACATGTTAAACCTAGATCTGTTCCTGTTTTGAGTATCAATTAATAATTAAGATAATCAAATCAATCTAAGAAAAAATTGTAAATTACTAATTTAAATCAATTAAAAAGGATCTTTAATTAGATTGATTTACATAAAATTTTAGCCTATATGGAAGAAAATAATTAGTGGGATTCATAAATTGTATTTAGTGATTGTACTGAGAAATTGCTAATGTCCATCAAAGGAGTAAAAATATTTACATAATTGCTTAGTTGCAAACTTCCATTCATTATGATAGTAAGAATTACAAGATGCATAATCATATGCAAGACAATTGGCATTTGGGAAATAAGAAAGCACTATTTTATAATATGAGAAATTACTTCAAAACTATTAAGGAAGATTATACTAAATATATTCCAATTACATTTCATATCTAAAAGGGAATGACTGATACTGAGTATTTCAAATTTGTTGATTATTATAATAAAAGATAAGATGAAATTAAAGAACTTGAACGTAAGTTATAATTAGAGTATCGAAGAGATAAAAGATAGAAACCTATTAATCTTTGGATTGTCAAACCAGGTGAATGTACTAACAGAGGAAATGGAATTACTGTTTGTTAAGATTTATAAGAAATTAACAAAATTTTAAATGAAGAATAACCTGATGGCCGTTAAAGAACTTATATTGTCTAATAATACATTGATAATCCATTTTTATACAATAAAAGGAAATTTGATATTAGATGCTATATGTTATTAACCTCTTAAAATGGAATCTTTAAAGGATACTGGTATTAAGAAGGTTATATTCGAACATCATCCAAAGAATTTACAACTAAATGTTTAAATAAATATATTCACTTAACTAATGATGCTGTTTAATCAAAAGATGAGGATTATGGAAAATTTGAGTTTGGTAATAAGATCTCCTTTCTCGAATATTAAAGATATCTTGATACTTATCATCCTTAATCTAAATTCAATTTTTTTATTGATATATATCCAAAGATGAAAAATATTGCTTTAGATCTTATGAAGGCATCTTATGGTAAAATAGATCCATAAAGAAGATCAAATAGTTTTGAAGTACAATATAAATTATATTATTAGTTATTTGGATTAGATTTTATGATTGATGATAATTTTAAGCTTTGGCTTATTGAAGCAAATACAAATCCATGTCTAGAATTATCCTGTCCTCTTTTGAGTAGAATTATCCCTGCCATGGTTGAGAATTTATTTCGGTATTTAAACTATAATCTATATTATTAGAATTGCAATCGATCCCATTTTCCCTCCTCCTTATTTTGAAGAATGGCCTCAAAATAAAAAGTTATTCATTCCTGATAATGTGCTTGAGAACAATCGATTTGATCTTATATTTGATGAATTAATAGAGAAGAAGGCTATGATCAATTTATACAGAGATAGTAAAGTTGAATAAGATTGTTTCAAAATAGAGGAAGAAGAAGAGGAAGAAGAGAAAGATTGACACTTTAATGTAATTATTATTATTTAAATATAATATTCAATAAAATTCAATTATTTATTCAAGATTTGAAAAAGTAAATATTTTATAATTATATTTTTATATTCTCTAAATTTTTATTAATTACTTATTACATTTAAAAATATATTAATAATAATAAAGTTGTTAAATTACTAAATGCAGTTAAATAATTAAATGGATGCAATATTCTAATAAGAGAAGGAATAAATTCTTAAAGTATTTGAATCTAAACTTCATCAACTATAATTACAAGT